ATTCCGAGTCCAAAATTCAATTCAAAGTGCATTAGCAATGACCTCAACCTCAGTTGATCCAGAAAAGTTATTATTTAGAATTTAGATGGAAAGCTAGCTTTTATTTTAGAAGGCGAGTTAATAATTTCAGCTTACAAAATATACAGGATCTTAAAGTTAAGTTAATGCTTTATTGTCATGGTTGATTATTTCAAATAAATCCTATGTCTTTCTAGAGACGTATGCTCGTAGCCAAGACGCAGCGTTGCCTTAAAGACGTACTTAAACTCGGAGCTGCGACGCAGCGTCCCGCTAAAGACGTATGCTCGGAGCTGCGACGCAGCGTCCCGCTAAAGACGCATGCTCGTAGCCAAGATGCAGCGTTGCCTTAAAGACGTACTTAAACTCGGAGCTGCGACGCAGCGTCCCGCTAAAGACGCATGCTCGAAGCTGCGACGCAGCGTCCCGCTAAAGACGCATGCTCGAAGCTGCGACGCAGCGTCCCGCTAAAGACGCATGCTCTTAGCTCCGACGCAGCGTCCCGTTAAAGACGTATGCTCTAAGTTACGACGCAGCGTCTCATTAAAAGACGTATACCCTAAGTTACAAACGTCGCGTCGCCTTAAAGACGCATGATTGCCGCGACGCACGTACGAGCTCGTCAGGCGCGCTTCAATTTCGGACGTCTGGTGGGGCTCTCAAGGGCTTAATTCGCCTGCCTGATGACCCTTAGCAGATTAATAACGGATATAGACATGGCCGCCTTATCGTTGGCCGACCATGATACGGCCACGCTGGCAAAATGGTACATAGGCTGCATCCAAGGTCCCGTTGGAGTTATTCGTTTCTGATGAGATTCACCTCGGGTTTTATATAGTCAACGATCGATATTTTATACTCATTTGCGAGTTAATTAGCACAGTTTTTCTGATTTATTTGAAATATTTTTTGACGATTATTGTGTAGCATCATTTGTTGCATAGATCAGGATAGATTAATTCAAGGACTCGCGGATCAATTTCAAATATTCAACGACCTGGATATAATCCGATTAAAATATCAGTACGGCTTGAATGAAAAAAAAATAAAATCTGGTACTTTTTCTTCGAAGTCGTGATGCGCAAGGCTGTATGAATCGCATCTATCTCTTCCTAATTAAGGGAATTGAACAAAAAACAGGCTAGCATTGGTTCATGGGTTTGATTTATTTTTCCGAGACTACATGTTTACTGAATGAGATGAATTAATAAACATACGCAGGAATGATAGAGGTTTTCAATTTTAATTCCTACATAAAACAGATAGGGTAACATGGGGCAGCGAGCCCACTGCGGGTCACGGGCCCATAGCGGGTTTCTCGCTAAGTATGGCAGATATTGGTCCGTGTTCTCTAATTTAAACAAAACAAAGAACCACCTCGTATCAATTAAAACTTCGTCAAAAATTTAGTTTAAAAAAAGTGGGGGGCGCGCTGCCCCACGTTACCCTAATGTTGTACGACCTCGAGTCCTTAGATTTAGATCATTCAAAATTACATAAATTTTGTAACGAACGGCCACTGATTATTACGGTTTTAATTTGTTGTTACCAAGATTTTAATTTAGAGTTGATAATTACAAAGGTTTCAATACCTGTATAACCAAAAATTATGTGCGAATCACGCTTCATTTTCCTGTCGTGTAGTCTTTAATAATTAAAATGAATCCTCAAATACTCGGGCATACTAATAATATTCGTCAATTGGTCATTACGCCACTGGTAATTTGCTGAGAATTTCAAAGGCTTTTCAATGAATTTGATACAATTGGTTGAACTGAATATGAGCCGCCATGGGTTGGTGCTGGCAAGAGATAACGCACTTATTTAATTTTATCAAGTATTATTGATGGACCATGAATGCATGCAGGCCATTGGCCATCCCAGGGTCAATATGGCCATCACTGACCACAACTAACCGTCATTGGCCATAAATAAATTAATGTATATCGATTGCCAGATGATCACTAATCAAGGCCGAATCAGGAACAAGGCTTGTACGAAAACTGCCTGCATATAAAGGAAAGATATCCACTCTTTTAGGCAAATATAAAACAGAGAACAGCGCAAGATTGTCTGTTGGAATCGAAAGGCTTACAAAAATCCTGCCATAATTCAGCACCCGGGCGGCCAAGCGCCTCAAGAAACCGGCGAGTGTCTGTCACCACGAGACGTCGGGGTCTTGGCGCGGTGCCACATGCAGCAGTGACATCGTTGCCAGGGCTTGCCACATGCAGCCGTGACCTCGTTGCCAGGGCTTGCCACATGCAGCCGTGACCTCGTTGCCAGGGCTTGCCACATGCAGCCCGTGGCTTGCTGTATATTGCCACGTCGTCACGGCAAGTCTGGCAAAAGCCTGCAGTTCCTCTTAATAGAAATGTTACCAACGGATGATAGGCTACCATTGTTCTCACGTGCAGTTAGCTACTTGATGGACTGCTATTCTACAGCAAATATTCCATAATAATTAGGTATGCTTTTTATGATGCTGAAATATTTTCAGATTTTGCGCTGCATTTTAATGAGCTCTAGGTATAGCGTTATTAAGACCTGCGCTGCATATGTATGAGCCCTGTGTATGGCGTTATGGATAAGATAATCATTTGTCAGAGGAGCGCTGATGGGGTAAATTTCTCATGAATAATAAGGGCCATAAATTGGAAAGAAGAATTAATTATTGAGGCCGAGCACAGAAACTCTGAGAAAAATAGATCATATATTTACCAGTTGTTTGTTGGTTCTTACTGATCAAATTTATCAGATCTCAAAAATTCCTCAGAAAGAAAGAGAAGGCAGTTTCCTGCTGAATTTCGAAAATATATTATTTATTTTGGTCAACTATAGATGACATTGGTGGTTGAAATTTTATTCAATTGCATAAACTTATAAAACAAATGGATGGTAATCCCTCTTTCAATGCCAAGCCTGCGATAAGGTAAAGAATAACCTCACTTCAATTTTGCAATTGAAAAAAAAGAATATAATACAAAAAGTTTTTTTGCAAAATTTTTCGAATGCTTCACAGCTTGCAATGTATAGTTGTATTCAGAAATTATGTTAAAAGCAATATTTATAGCATGAAGTAGTGGAATAGCATAATGGAATGAATTCTTATGTGATTATCACCCGCAAATAAAAAAGTTCCACACGAAAATTCCAAAAACAGTATAATCACTCCTCCTGTTTTTATTTATACCGATTGTACACAACCCAATCTCCTTTTTACATCTATACTGAAAGAATAAAACACCACATCCTGTTTCTATCTATACGTACTGGAAGGACATAGCCCCTTGCATCTCGCGTTTTTATTTATACAGAAGGTACATACAACTTCAACTCCTGTTTTCATTCATTCAAAATTGATATAACCCGACCTTCTGTTATCATCTACGAAGTTGTCAACAGCATCATAAACTGTTGCTCGTGACAGCCCTCCGCTGCTCCGACGTTTTGATGCCCCAAGTCTGCTTTGCGTTCCGCTATTTGCTCACTAGAGAACCTCGAGCCTTGAACTGATGTGCATCTATACAAAATGTTTCTACATTTACGATGAAATTATAATATCTGGCCGTGCAGCGACCATACAATGTTCGGTGGTGCAGCGACCATACAATGTTTGGCGGTGCAGCGACCATACAATGTTTGGTGGTGCAGCGACCATACAATGTTTGGCGGTGCAGCGACCGTACAATGTTTGACGGTGCAGCGACCATACAATGTTTGGTGGTGCAGCGACCATACAATGTTTGGCGGTGCAGCGACCGTACAATGTTTG